ATGTGATGTATTCATCGTGAATATGTACGTGTTATTCCTCATGAATGTGTGGTTTATGATGAATAACACGTCTATGTATATTATGAATGTGTGTTCATGATTAATAACACTTCTATATATATATATATATATATATATATATATATATTCATCATGAAGAGAGACACGTGGAATGCGGTGGGTGGTTCTTGGGTTCCCAAAGGAACTTTCGTCTACGTGTGTGTATATATGTACGTACATAATGAGGGAAGATCAAACGAGAACACTTGAAAATAAAACAATACAAGAACGGTCAAATCACATGTGATTACGGAACGAGACTAGTGCATGGGTGCATTGGCAACTTGGCCGCACGACCTAAGTCACGGTCAAGGTCGCACATATTCACATGTGATTTAACTATGCTTATGTTATCTTATCTGGGCATTGCTTTCGTTTGAATCTTGGTCTTGTACACAAAAAATAACATGTATATTATTGATAAATTATATAAATAAACGCCCAACAATTTTTTAGATAAACTGGCTTTGTACATTGACTTGGTCGTAAACCTTCTCCTTTGACGTAAATAATTTCTATTAAGCAGTTCATATGTGTGCTTATTTATAGTTTAAGTCATCATACTGCTCCTAACTTTGAGTAATTGTTGGTGTCTTTTACTTGCACATATTCTTTAATCGATCATTGTTGGGATCGTATCCAAGAAATCTCAAGTATTCGCTTGAGATTTACAGGACAATCAAGTCAAGACGGAATTCGTGTTGGTGCAGTGCAGTTAGGTAACAAAGGAGTCGAGTAGGGCAAATATCAGGGTATATTTAGCTTGCTTAAGCATCTGATTGTACTTTCCTTGTAATTTATGCATTTTGATTTTCAATTGTAGTTTATATTTCTATATCAGATCTTATAAACATATGACGTATGTGTTTTCTCAGTAATATCAGTTTTATCAGTTTAAGTGTCTTGTATAAGCTAAAATAGTTAGTATTCATTCTTCCTTCTTATTCTTTACTTTTTTCCTTTATTTGATCGTAGTTTAATTTATATACCGATAATGTCGAACCAAATCACCAATTTGCAATTTTGCATAGCTAGTTCAAAACTTGTAGAGGATTAGTATCGAGATAACTGTTTCCTTGTAATCAATCCATATGTTACAACAAGGACGATAAAAAAAATTTGAACCTTCACAGCAAAAACCTTCTGGAAACACGAAAACGTCGCCTTTATTCGATACTTTTGAGATGAGACAGTTTTCAAGGTTTGACGTCACAAATTCAACTTGGATGGTTCCATCAATGACCGTTAAAATGTCAGTAGCCCGAGGATGTGTGCGTGGAGGGTTAATACCCTAAGGAGCAAAGTCAATACGGGCCATTGAGATGCCAAAAGTGTTGAGTCTTGATAACTAGGCCACAATTATAGGTGTCACACGGGATCCAACTGCATTTGATGTGTTCCCCATTACATGAAGTGTTTTGCTTGGACACATGTCGCATCTTTACAAACGATACCGTTAACCGATTGTGCAAAAGCATCATACAGGCGTTATTAACTTATTATCATTCCTAAAAACCGAAAAACAACACAAAAATATGATTATCAAACATTATAATCCAATTTGTGTTAAATCTTACTTGGGCTATTAGGCATGGCGACGCAAAAATCTTGGAGCGGGCCATGGTCAAAAGCCGAAGCAAGAGAACAAGTTACGACAAAGAGACCTAATAAAAGCATACGAGAAGCCATCG